GGACCCGGAAATTTGGTCCGGGCCGGGCCGGGCCGGGCCGGACCGTTTGGACAGCCCTAGATTTTCTATATTGTCTTTGTATGCTTAGTCAATTTCCTTTTCTGATAAACAGTTCTTATTATATATATAAAATCTATAGGTTTAGGAGTTAAATCTTGGTAATTTAGGATATTTTGGTGTCCTACTGGAATAAGGAAACACTGGTCTAATATGAAGCAGACCTTCTATCTTTGAGTAGTAGTGTGTATTGTTGATGAATTATGATATAGTTATGCAAGAGCTGTTTTTGGGTCCTAATGTCATATGGGTTCTTGTGTTGTGCTTGTTAGATTTCACCCTCTCACGGAATTTGATGAGGGGAAGAGGAGCTGCCGGCGTAGGTTAGCTGGGCACAACCGGAGGAGGAGGAAGACTCAGCCAGAGGATGTTTCGTCAAAGCTTTTAGCTCCCGGAAATAGAGAGAATGTTACTAATGGGAGTATGGACATTGTCAATTTGTTAGCCATTTTGGCTAAACTGCAAGGTATATTCTTTTGATTTATATTAAACTTCATGCTACATGTTAGCTTTCTGCCTGATTGTTTGCTACTGCAACAACAGGTAACAATGCTGGTAAACCAGCCAATGCTCCTCTTCCTGATAGGGAACGGCTCATCCAAATTCTTAGTAAAATAAACTCATTATCTAAGAACACATCTCCGAAATCCACTGGTTTTGATCTGAATATTTCACAACCTATCCAAGAAGAGTCTCGAGACCTATCATGTACAGAAAATGGGAACCTGACTGCTCTGTCAACCATAGACTTGCTCGCAGTTCTCTCTGCAGCGCTTGCAGTATCATCGCCTGATGTACTAGTTTCTTTATCCCAAGGGAGCAATTATAGTGGCGGTGGTGATAAAACCAAAATGCCATCTGTGGAGACTGCGGCTGATGCTAATTCACATAGTAGGCCGGCTCAAACATTTACTTCAAGTGGGAACAGACTACCACCATTAGACTCTTCAAATCGCTCACGTCAAGAAGCCAGACAAACTTTGCCGTTGCAGCTCTTTGGCTCGGCTGAGGATGATAGTCCTCCAAAATTGGCATCTTCAGTGAAATATTTCTCCTCTGTTAGTAGTAACCCCATGGAAGATAGATCTCCTTCGTGCTCTCCCCCTGTGGCCCAGAAAGTCTTTCCTCTACATTCTGCAACAGAGAGGAAACATGAGAGGATGTCAGTTTGCTTGGAAGATGATGGTGCTGTGGAAAGAAGTATGAGTCGTGAGTGGACAACTCCATTAGAGCTTTTTAAAGAGTCAGAAAGAAGAGTTGAGAATGGGGTAGTTCATAGTTTGCCATATCAAGGGGGTTACGCTTCCTCCTCAGTATCGGACCACTCACCTTCTAGTACAAATTCTGATGCTCAGGTAAAACGTGAAATACTCATTTCAGGTCTATTGGTTCAACTCAATGAGCGAGCAAAATGCCATTTATGATTTGATATGACTTTAATTTTCTCCACAGGATCGGACTGGTCGAATTATTTTCAAGCTTTTTGACAAAGACCCCAGCAAAATTCCTGCAGCTCTCCGGAGTCAGGTGAGTCGAAATTAGAAACACATCCATATATCAAGGTAATCTAGGATAATATGACATTATCAAGTTTTGTACTAAATTTCTTTATTTACAGATAGTCAATTGGCTGGCTCACAGTCCATCGGAAATGGAGAGCTACATTCGACCTGGGTGTGTCGTGTTATCCATTTATGCAGCAATGCCATCAATTGTATGGGATGAAGTGAGTGTTAATATTTGAATTGTTGATATTCATTGGCTTCTCATTTCTAGGTTTGCATAAAAAACTGAGACATTCTTGTGTTGCAGCTTGAAGAAGATCTTCTTCAGCGGGTCACTTCACTTGTTCACAATTCTGATTCAGCATTTTGGAAGAATGGGAGGTTTTTGGTTCGTACAAGTAGACAGCTAGCGTCTCATAAGGATGGTATGCTGTTTTTCATTCTTTTGTATATGTTGTTTGCATATTATGGATTATATGGACTAATAATCACTAAAAAGGGAAGAATAATCATGTACTTTTCTCTATGGCTCTCAGGGAAAATCCGTCTTAGTAAATCATGGAGGACGTGGAGTGCTCCTGAGCTGATTTCTGTGTCGCCTGTTGCTGTTGTGAGTGGGCAGGATACTTCCCTTGTTCTAAAAGGTCGCAATTTGACCATTCCTGGAACCAAGTAAGAATTCCTGTTGTCTGGAAGTGATTGCTTCTGGTGAATAATCTCTCACTGGCATGATTAATATTATGCAATATGCAGAATCCATTGCACATATATGGGGGGATACACTTCAAAAGAGGTTCTCGGTTCGGCATATCCTGGCACTATTTACGATGATTCGAGCTCAGAAAATTTCGTTCTTCCTGGAGGACTTCCCAATACCTTTGGTCGCTGTTTTATTGAGGTGAGTATTTGCGGTGCAAAGTTTCAATCGGGTCTTGATATGAATGCGTTAAAAGAAGAGTTAATTACGTATAGACCCCTTGTAGCATCGTTGTTTCGAAATTACCATCTGTATAGTTTCATTTTTGCAGATGGACCCCCTGGGTTAATTTTTTTTACTCTTTACCCTCAGATAGTCACTAGCTTCACCAGGGGCAATATATTCGAAATTTCACTCTGGGTAAGAGTAAAAAAAAATAAAAAAAATAAATAAGGGTCTATCTACAATGAAACTACAGCACTCATAAGTTCATAACAACGACAGTACATGGGATCTATTGCAATTAACCCTTAAAAGAAATAGTAGCTAATCTTTCCCCCCTTCATTGCAGGTGGAAAATGGTTTCAAAGGAAATAGTTTTCCTGTTATTATTGCTAACTCTACTATTTGTCAAGAGTTGGGAGCCCTTGAATCTGAGTTTGAAGAAGAAGTGGGAACCAGTGATAATGGGTGCCCGAGTTCAAGGGAGGATCTTCTTCACTTCCTTAACGAACTTGGTTGGCTTTTCCAAAGAAAGGGCAGTCTCGTTCCTCATTTCGTAGATTTCTCCTCAAGCCGATTCAAGTTTCTCTTTACATTCTCAGTTGAGAGAGATTGGTCTGCTGTTGTCAAAACTCTTCTAGACATACTAGTTGAAAGAAGCTTGAAGAGTGATGCCTTAGCACAGGAATCACTGGAAATGCTTCTTGAGATCCAGTTATTGAACCGAGCTGTGAAGAGAAAGTGTAGCAAAATGGTTGACTTGCTTATCACTTACTGTGTCATAAGGGGCAATTCAAAGGTGTATCTTTTCCCTCCGAATTTGTTTGGCCCTGGTGGAGTGACCCCCTTGCATCTAGCTGCATCTATACAGGACTCCGAAGACATAATTGATGCTTTAACCAATGACCCACAAGAGGTAAAGCCAATTCGATGGGTGCGCGGGGGATATTACTTAGGAGTGTACTGCACAAAAACCTTGAACTTTTAAATCAGAGGAAACCCCTTCTGATGTTCTCGCTTAAAATAAAAAAGAGAGGTAATTTAACGACTTTTGCTCATCCATTACTACCGTTTATGAGAACTTTCAATGTTTAGAAGGTTTAACGTGTAAGTTTTTAAGTTCATTGGGTCTTATTCTGATTTACCTAGTAGACAACCCCCCCGCCCCCCCCCACACACACACACCCAAAAAAAACACCCACAAAAAGTTCGTCTTTAACTTTTTGGGTTGAAATTTACCCTATTGTGTTGTGCATTAATGTCAATTTGTTTGCATCCAATATGTCTGAAATTGTGTTCAGATTGGTATCAACTGTTGGAACTCAATACTGGATGAGAGTGGACAGTCTCCATACATGTATGCATCACAAAGGAACAACCATTCTTATAACAGACTTGTGGCAAGAAAGCTTGCAGATAAAAAGAACAGGCAAGTATCCATTAATGTCGGAGATGAAATATCAATGGACAAGTCAAATGGTATCAGAGAACTTGAAGTAAGCTCCTGTGCTAAGTGTGCATTCATGGAGAAGACGCGAGGTAAACGAATTGCACGTGGACGTGGGCTTCTAGAACGCCCGTACGTGCACTCAATGCTCGCCATCGCTGCAGTTTGCGTCTGTGTCTGCCTCTTCTTCAGAGGCTCGCCACAGATTGGCACCATTGCTCCCTTCAAGTGGGAGAATTTGGACTTTGGCCCAAAATGACCAAGTGGTGGTTTTTCATATATATCGTATGTTTATCACATTATCGTGGACAAACCTAATGTTATCGGTGAGTGCAAGCTCGTTGGCTCGCTGCTGGATCAGAGCTCGATAGACCCGAAATGGGATTGAGAATGACCAAGAGAGCAGGAGAATGAGGTATGGTGTTTCCCTCTCATAGGGTAATTTATTTTGGTGCTGCTTTATCTTCTTTCTGATTTTCTAAGCTCATACCCTGTGTTTATGTTGTTTGTGATGTTTTTTATATGTATCAACAAGAGAGTGATGTGAAATACATTACATAGTGATGATTCAAGCTTTTTTTCATTCTTTTTTTTTTCTTTTTTGATATGTGCCTTCACTATTAGTTTAGATTCGGTGACTTTCTGACTTATTCTTTCATTCATTTGTGAGCTGTGCTCTCCATGTTCACGTTCATGTCATTGTATTTGTATTACTGTTGCTCTTTGAGTAACAAGCTTTTTAAAATTTGTTTATGCTTTATTTCTCCCTTTCTATTTCTTTTGAGCACGGTGTGCGTTTTTCTGAGATTAAATGATTTGCAGGGTGACCCCTCAATTTTGATGTTTGGCATTTATCTCATCTTATTTGCTAAAATCTAATGGCTGCACCCCCAACTTATGCATGGTGATTAAATTGGGGTGGGAGAGGGACCTGTGCACTGAGAAGAAAGATTTGTTAGAAAAGGAGTCATCATTTTCTGGGGTTATGATAAAAAGTCCGAAAATATTTTGTTATAAAAGGAGTGAATAATTTTTCGGATCCGGTTAAAATTTTGCGAATTCGAATGAACATGGTCGTGTCGATAACCAAAAGAATGGGATGTACATATGGGCAGGCTCTATTCATATACCGTCAAGTATTTGCTTAAAGATATTTGGTTTAGAAACTGACACATGGCTCTTTAAATTTGTCAAATTTAGTATGGAGCGTAACTTGTAAAATGTAAATGAGTCAACAGCATGATATATGTAATGTAATAATACAAACTGTAAGGGATGAAATTCTAAATGAATGTTTGATTATCGAACGAATCGAGCATGCACATGGATGGATTCTATTCGTTTATGAGTCGAATGCTAAAAACTATTTGCGATAAATGACACGTCGAGACGAATATAACCGAAATAGCTAGAACACTTAAACGAGCTACTTGTTGCTTACTTGGTTTCGTTTTCACCCCCTGGTTACAAGCGTGGATATTCGTACTTGTCTAAAAGAAACGCAATTTTTTCCACTACGCAGAGAGTGGTACATGTTCTTTCCATTATGTTCTAGGTTCAATGAACATGATCATGTTCTAAGAAATAGATTATTCATCTTTGTTCAACGTATCTTAGCTGGTGCATGCACATGAAAATGTTCCCCTTCAAATGGGGCCCAAGATTAAAAGACTAGATGAATATGGACAGCTGTGTGTGTGTGATGTGGGGGGGGGGGGGGGGCGGGGTGGTGCAGATCAACCTATATTGCTTTGTCTTAGTGCACCATACTCGACCCTCCCCTCTGTATTCCTATCTTTGTAAATCAGTTGTTCTTTATTATCAATAAACTCTGGGCCGTGTTTTTTTCTGAAAAAGAACGAAAATTTGAAGTCAAGCAACAAGCAACCTTAACGTTAAATAGAAGGTAAAGAATATAATTAGGAGAAAAGAAATTGAGCCCAAGGAGAGGGGCCAATCTGGAAACTTCTACAGCATCGATAGTTTTGCATTAAATTATGAAAATCCCACTACCTCCTCATGTAATGAGCATTTTTATCACCGAGCAAGGAGAAGAAAGAAAAGAACAGAGGAAAGGAAAAAAAAAAAAATCCAATGCGAAAGGATCGATAACCGCCAAACTCCAATCGTACCTTGAAATGGCGACGTTTACGATGCCTCAGTTCTGTATATACGCAGGGGGAGCAAACGAACGAAGCAAACGAAAACTGACGCATCGCGGTACGCAAACTAATTGCTACAGTTGACGACAACACGAGGAAGGGCTACCTTTTTGCACGCCAAAAGAGCAATTATGATTAAATTCCAGAAAAATGACAGTAAGCACGAAAACAAACGTTTACACCATCACAAAGAAATAATAACCAAAAAGGCGAAGAGAAACAATAGGTACGCGGACGAGTAGGATTTACATAGTATCATAACTTCTCCTGCATACACGACAAATAACACCAACTTACTAACAACAATGACCACCATGCATTCCCAAAATCCCACCATACGATCTGCAATATCAACAACAATCAAACTGTACAGAGAACAACATCAAACACCTTCCCAGTTCAACCGGAGCTTACATGACAACGAACAACAGCAGACACGAGAAATCACCATCAGAACCCCAATGAACCACTGCATCCCTCAGTTCCTCAAGAACTCTCAGACTTCGAAGAAGGATTGAAAGGAACCTGCTCCGCGCAATCCAGATTATCTCCAGAGTAATCTCTTCCAATGCCCATCAAATCCAAATAATACTGGTAGTGAGATATCATGTTGTTCATATCATCGATAAAACCCTGACCACAGATTTGGTCCCCGTAGAGAACGTTCATGGTGGCTCCGAAACCCGGTAGCCTTTTAGATAGAGTGTCGTTCTTCGTGGGCTCCCAGTTGCCAACAAACACATCGTGAGCGGAGGGCTGCTTCTTCTTCATCGGGGTCATCCATCGCCACATCGCAGCTTGGAAAGCTAGGGTTGCATTTTGTTCAAGGTACTCTGGGTGGTTCAATAAATCTACCTTGAGAGCATCACCGGTGAGCCCGTAGTTGTAGTTCCTAGATTTAAATTGCCAAAATTGGACACGTAAGGTATTGAATTGAAGAGAGAAGATATTGTCAGGGTATAAAGATTACCAGTATACAGGAAGGGCACCACGTCCGTAGTACTCGGCTCCAGGAGTGCAAGGATAGAGGTAGTTTGGATCACAGTAGGATTGGCTAGGGCTCATTTCTTTGTTGTAGCATAGACCCCATGCTAGAGGACCACCGGTAGCAACACCATAACCACCTGAAAAATGGTAGCAGATGAGCAGGTTGCATTGCATGTGATGAATAGCATAGCAGTTTGAATCCAAATAACTAAGGAGTGTTAAAAGCCCACCTCAAAACAAAGGGGGAAAAACACCCACACCAAATTCAAATATAGGAGAAAGAGAAGGGAGACGAGATTTTGGAAGAATTAGAATGTTTTTGTTACTATGGGATTTTCATCATAAATGCAAGGGTTAAATGCACATGGACCCCATTAATATTGCATTGTCACTTATTACCCTTTAGCTTTGATATAGGCAGATACACCCCTAGAGTGAATTTTTTATCCTCAGTGGATTATTTTGCCCGAAAAAAGCATCTCCTAAGGGCAAAAGAGTCGATATATTTTCACTCAAGAGGGTGTATTTACCTATATCAAACTTAAAAGGGTAATAAGGGGCACAACAAGGCATTACAGGGGGTCTATGTGCAATTACCCCTGAATTCAAAAATAGTTGGAACTTGGGGCTTTAAGGATTTATCACTACTCCATTAAAAAAAATAAACTAAAAAAAATGCTAGTGCATACATGAAACCAGGGCCTATTTTAATGGGAGAGGTTTTTCAATTGAATCATGCAAAGACTAGAAGTTCCTTTATCTTTCTGATTACAATAAAATTATAGCTACTAACACATATGGATCATGGATCAATCATAAATATCGACATAAAGTCATAACCAAAAAGTGAGGTAGAGAATCATATTTTGAGCAGTTTCCAGTAGCTTCTTCCTAAATAATGAGCCTGAACTGTTGTTGGTTGGGTGATATTATAAACAACATCATGTATTTCCCGGACATATTAAAATCTGAAATATATCCATTTCGGAAAATTGGAGAACAACTTCTAGATGCTACTTGTAATGAAATGTATAGTCCACCAATTATGATTATTACAAAAGCATCGAATTTAATTGCTTCATGTATAACATTGGTTTCAAGCACTAGAATCATAATTCCTGTAGGCTGTCTAAAAATCACAATAGATAGTTGATCCCCCATCAAACACCGATGATGGAAGTTACAATCTGACGACTTCCAGAAGGTTACAATCTGACGACCTTCACAACAACTAATGAAAGCCCCAATTCAACAGCCTTCACAATCAACATCGGGAGTTACAATCTGACGACTCTCGTATTTTCAAGTAGCCAAGACGAAGATTACAAGAGGACGATCTGTGCAAAGTTCTAGCAAAAGAGACTACAAATTGACGGTCTCTTCATATTAGAATGCAGATATCTCTCAAACCGTAAGGAATTTGGTGAAACGGAGGAAGCGAACCGAAGCCTTCGGCTTGGTTCGGATGGCCCCATCTCGTCGAGATAGCCGATTTTCATATATAATTCGTCCAATTCCGACGTACGGTTTGAAAGTTATGACCTGTTCTTCGTAGCAAGTTATGTTCTGAAGTCCGTCTGCAAGACCGGACTTCGTCAGAACATTGGACTTAGCCTGAAGCTCGCCAAGCCCGCCTAAGGTTCGCCTCTGCATTATAGAGTCAAAGCGCACAGGTCGAACCAGCGTTATAACCTCAAAACGCAGAGTTAATCTATAAAACAGCACGAACTGTGCGTTTTCAGCCTAAAACAGGCTCAACTCTGCGTTTTCAACATCAAAACGCAGAGTTAATCTCTAAAACAGCACGAACTGTGCGTTTTCAGCCTAAAACAGGCTTAACTCTGTGTTTTCCAGCAGACATCTAACTCTGTGACGCAGAGTTAAAGCACAAACGCACACATAACGTGCGTTCTTCAACAAACTCAACCATGCGTCCCAAACTCTCGACGCAGAGTTGAATTCCAACGCACAAGCGACCTATGCGTCTCCAATTCCAGAATGCATACGACCTGTGCTTTTGGGGCAGCAAAGAAGCGATCTTCGGCTAGCTTGGGATCGAATTTTTTCTCATCAACAAAGGGATATTCGGTCAAAAGGCTGGCATATTTTGGATCTGGGATTTGGCAGCAATAGAGAGCTTTGGAGATCAACGACTTGAAGGAGCTCTTGAATCATTTTGGAAGGCTTTTATTGAAGCCTTTGAAATTATTCGGCCTTGGCTTATAACCGACTTTCGGTTCAAATCAACTCTTTTTCAAGAGTTCAAACTCGTTCAGAGTTATCAACTCGATCAGAGTTCAAAACTTGCTCTGCAAGTTCTTCTAAAACTCGTCAGAGTTATCAACTCGATCAGAGTTCAAAACTTGCTCTGCAAGTTCTTCTAAAACTCGTTCAGAGTTATCAACTCGTTAAGAGTTATTTTCAAACTTGCCACGCAAGTTCTCCACAGCGTCAAATCGTGAGGAGAAGACATTGTTCCAGTGAATCAAGACGTGCGGATCGTCAACGGAGAGCAAGTTCGACACAATCAATCGAAGGAGGCACTCCATCGCCACCGTGAAGAACCCAGAATTAAATAAAGGGGAGAATCAAATTTATTTTCCTCTCTTTTGTAATCAGAATCCAAATTGTAATTGATTTTGAGAGGAATACAAGTCAATTTTTCTTTCATTTCTTTTACTTCAAATTTCCAACAAACAATTCCCAATGCAAAATTTTGACGGAGTTGTGCGCCACAGCAAAAAATTTTGATAGAAAAGATGGTGGCAATGGTGACTGAAGCAATTGCACAAGATTTTCTAAGTATCGAATATTTTTCCCTTCTTTGCTCTTAGACACCTTTATTACATGTTCAGTCTATTCTTGCTTCAGTATAATACTCTAACCGAAAAACAGCAAGTTTAATACATATTGACATACATATGGGCCAATTACTATAAATATGCATTAAACCTTCTAGCGAGAAGCATCAGATGCTCCTTTAGATCTCTATCCTAAGATTCAGGAACTTTTATTAGTGTTCTGTCAACACAAGATGACAATTTCCAATCCCTCCTCCCTTCCTCCCCAAGCAAAAAAGGGGAAAAAATAACTTGTCTATGACTATATGTTAGGCTTTGAGAATATACTGCATATACAGCATGGTAGGTGCTCCTACTTGGACTACTAGGTTAATGAAGAATGCCACCACTACTCATATTTCTAATTGACAGTTTTGATACCAGCTTAGAGGATTGACATCGAGTGGCGTGGTTGATTTGCTGATCCTGGAACTTTGAGAAAGTAATACACCATAACCAATTACTTACAGTGAGAAAATAATCTGAAGGCGGTGATGATAACTAGAAACCGAACACACAAGATTATTGAAGTATTCATACCTCCTTTGTTCTTGGACACTAGTATAAATGTTTTGACTATTCTTTATGTCAATACAGTTGTACACTCGTACAACAAAATATTCAAATAAAACAATTTCATTACATAATGACATGCATATGAGCAATCTACCCCTCTATACTTAAAAGAAGAATGCAAAGAATCACTGTTCATATTATAGTAAATCAAATTTGACCCTCTGCTCTCGAAGTTACTGTTTATGCTATAGTAATGTACTGTAGTAAATCAAATCTACTCCTCCATGCTTGAAGTTACTATTTATGCTACAGTAATTTACTGTATCATAAACAGTAAAGCAAACCAAATGTATTAAAACTTGGATCTTTTTTTAAGTATAGAGGATTAGATATTATTTCTAAATCAAATATATTAGAACTTGGATCTTTCTTTAAGTATAGAGGAATAAATATGATTTCTAATTTTAAACATAAAATAATTAAATCAAATGTATTAAAACTTAGAGGGAAGCAAGTTCAAAATGCAGTGCTTAAAAAAATAGAGGGCCGTACTTTGCACGGGGTTCACTAGTTATGAATATGTGTGTTCAGTCTTCTACAGAAAGCATCAAATCATCTGGGAGATGTCTAGCCTCAGTCAGTATAGAAGAATTTTCTTCGAAATCTTCTTCCACCAGAAGTTTTCCCGTTGACCTCTTTCTCTTTCCAAGACAGGAGTCTAAAAGGGATATGTATTCTTAAGGCACTTAATGAGAATGACTAAATGAACATTAGGGCGAGAACCAAACATACTCATGTAATGAACAACGGAAATGGCAACATTAATTGTCTCTATGTAAATGCGACAGACTCAAGTGCTAATACTGTCATATTCCACAAGCTAGTAATAAAAAGAAATCAAATAGGTTTCTGTCTGTCAGTGTTTGTATTCATGGGATGGAGAGAGGGGAAGAGAATGGCACATCAACCATTGTTAATCTCAAATTATATGAAGCAATAGGTTCAAAAAACAACAACAATTTAATTCACAAACATGAAAAAAATAAGCTAAAAAAG